TAGTGCGCCTGTCGTACGGCATGGGAGGGCTCACGCACGAGATAACGGTGCGGGAGCTGCTCGAGGGTAAACACTTCTCGCCGGCCGTTACCATCGAGTTCATATCAAAGCCGCTCAAGTGGTTCGGGATTCAGATGCCGGACACCCATATGCCGGGCAATAAGTTTGGTCTTCTTAACGCGGTTAAGGAGTCCCGGGAGGGCCCGCACGTGTGCGAGACCGGCGTGGGCGACTCGACCTTTCTCAAATTTGTCACCTTTCAAGGGCGCACGTAAGTGCCTAGTTTATTTAACTTACTTGTAGGCCACGTGCCCTTGATAACATTTTAACTTAATGAACTATTGTATGCTATTATACATTATAATCTTATTAAGTTTGAATCTGATATTTTTTAAATTCAGCTATTAGTTTATAAATTATAATTTTGAGATTATGTACTAAAAATATTAGGTCATTATGTAACTAGGTTGTATCGGATGTAAATTATGTAAACTATTATGTAATTTAATTTTGAAATGCGATCCACAGGTCGTACAACATGTATGACGACCCGAAGTGTACGGTTGTCAACGCCAGCGATGGTCGACAGTTGGGTCCATACAAGTTAACTAAGGATACGGTAATATGGGTGCCCATCGGCGACTTGTGCAGGTATGTCCACCCGAGTAATCACTTTATTTCTATTTAATAAACTAGCTGTTTGTATGAATTTTTAAAAATATTTCCAAAGCACTACAAAATCTATTTATATGTAATTCTTAGGGTAGTGTAAAAAATAATAAAATAATAATACATATTCTAGCTAAACCTGTACAATTTTCTAAAAATTTACATTACGTTAGAAAAATATTTAGTTAACAAATAACCTAATACTAAAAATCTTATAATATTATTTACAAGACTTTACTAAATGTCTAATTAATTGACAGAAACTTTTACATCGCCTATAAGGAGCACTCGAGTGTGTGGGGTATACCCACGTGGCGGTACACCCTTCCGCCCTCCATGTTTGCGTCGCCCAAAAAAAATCCCGCCAACACGTGCTACTGTCAAACACCGGATGACCCGGACATGTGCGACGGTATATACGAAATAGGACCCTGCGTCTACAATCTCGGTATACCCATATCGCTATCGTATCCACATTTCCTGTACGCCAGCGATAAGATACGTACGATGGTTGACGGCATGTACCCCGATGTGGACCTCCACGAGACCCAAATTGATTTTGAGCCGGTACAGTTTTATTTATATGATATGTGTTATGGTCTAGGTGCATTCATTCGTTCAGTGATTCTAGACTGTTAAGCAATATTGCATTTGTAATTATGGGATTATTATTATTGGTATATACAGTAAATCATTGATATAAATTATAAATTTCCCGTATTTGCAAATGTATTTTTAATTTGTTATTATTTTTTAAAAACAAACTCTACCAGATTAAATTATAATAGAATAATACAGTATTAATCTCAAATAACTTAACAATTTTTAAAAATTAAAAAACTCTAATTTAGAAATTATATAGCTAGTTAACACAGATACAAATGCATTAACTTAATGTTTAGTCTAATAAATATAACAATAGTATGCAATAAAAATATTGATCTCATGAAAACAAATACTATTAAATAATATTGTTTTTAACATACATTTCAACGTACAGACAGCGGGTGCGCCACTGAGAGTGAGGGCTGGCGTTCAGGTGAACGTTAAACTCGAGCCGTCGGCATATGTCGTGTAA